CGGCTCTGGAAGGGCCCTGCGGCCCGACCCAACCGCAGGGAGCGGATCCTCGGCCAAAAAGGGTGACCCGAGCAAAGTAGCCACCGAGCCCGCGTTTCTGTGGATATCTTAATCTTTGTTGATTAGGTTATCTCGGAAGCAAGCGCCCAGTTTTGTCTTAGTTTTTACTGAAAAAAAAAAAATATTAACTTGGATTTTTATACTCTTACAGTGTGCATCGGTAGGATGCTGGACAGTAGAGTAAAACAGCTGTATTTGCGTAAAAATGATTAGGCACTGGACAATAGGAGCCGTGTGATATATTTAGCTACGAGAGGATATTTTCAGACAATACCAGGGCTCTTCATTTCCTCTGGTTTACTTAAAGCAAGGATACGAAGAGTTAGAGGTCACAGTTTACTCACCACTTCTACAAAACACCGCTCCTAACCTTTTGCTTCTAAACAAACAGAAGCAGCAGCATCACGAAATTGAGGTAGACCTATTTTACACGTCTCTGTTGCTGGAAGCATTTATCAGGCTCCGTGTTTACATTGCCTCACGACCGGCTACACACCACACATTTGTTTAAAAGTTTAATAATTAAGTACTTTCCTCCCCTCGCTGGTGAAGTTCTCCTTTGATGCCCCTCAGTGTGCATAGATACCTAAGCTCCCACTTGAGTGCTAAGTTTCCGTCCCGGGAATCAGATCCTTTTCCACCAAATTGCGTCGCCGGATCTGCAATTCTTTCCTCGCTGCAAATTAAATTTAATTAAGCAGTTTACTTAAAACGTATTCGATGTTTTGTGTGAAAAGCAAACTGATTTCCTTGTTTTCTTGAGTGGTAGATTTCATTAGAGAACTACCGAACACAACTCAAAATCTATGGGGCTTCGAGCCCGCTTCCAACTTCTTTCCTCTGTGCTGCGAGCGGGAGGAGCGGGCTCTGCCAGGCTGAAACGCCCGTTTAGTTCAAAAGGGGTCGAAAGAGAACGCTGGGTTCCAAAATTTATCCGGGAAATAAATTACAGTGCCAATTATTTTCCTTATAAGAGCTTCTTGGCGTTCGTCTAAAAGTCGGACGAGTACCATCACGAAGCCGAATTTTAAGCGAATACACATATTTCTTCAGGAATAAAATTATGCAAAATTGGCTCCTTACTAGGGTTTTTGGTAGGATGTTCTTTGCATGCCTCGACTAATAGGTAGGGAAATGGCAGAAAAGAGCGCGGCAATTTACTGGGATTTAACTTTTAATCCTTTCTGCAGATACTATTTTGGCAAGCAATCCCTACTGGAAGAAATTCGGTAACCCCCTTGATTTCACAGGAGCCACTATGCCATTTACACCACCCCTGTTTAGCCTCGGTACAGCTCTTGTCGCAGACCCCTCGCGTGGGCCGCCTCCCCAGCCCGGTACCACCTCCCGGGGCAGCGGTACTGCCGCCCCGCTT